TTCAGAACTTGCGACCTGTAATGCAGTATCAGATGAACGGCATGGCATTGGTTCTGGACTGTTTGATCAGTTTCCTTCGGAAAGATGAATTGACAACAAACGAAACCGAACAAAACTGGTTGGACATCGTCGCTCGGTTCACGCAGAAAGTGCGGACATTGGAAACGATCGACTGCCATCAGGTTATTATGCACGTGGTTGTTCCGTTCGCGAACACTTGTCCCCGGATTTGTCTGAGATTGCTTGAACTGTTGTTCAGCCGCGAGCAAACGTATTGCAAGAATGCCTGCGAACAGGTGACTGCACATAGCGAAACGGTGTTCTTGCCGCTGATGAATACGATCTACGATCTCTTCGTCTGGGCGTTTCAAGATCAGTCGGAACAGCGTTCAGAACTAGTGAATATGGTCTTAAGCGCAGTGGATGGAATTCAGTACATCGATAACGTGGAAATAAGTCCGGAAGATGCATCGTCTATGAAGCGGAAATTGACATCACTTCCGTTGCATATTCAAGCATACCTAATTTTTAGTATGTTAAAATTCTGTTCTGACGGTAATCTCTCGTTTCCGGTTCCGGAATGCCTTACAAATGCCTATCGACTTTCTCGTGATATTTTCGACGCCGTCCCATGTCACCATGAAATTGAGTCCGACCCGAATATTTTATGCATCATACGATCAACCCTAAGACTGTCGGCATTCAACGTGGACTTGCTGCGACACTTTTTGAAGAACTGTGACCTAGATTTTCTGGTGAATGCAGTCGAAACGGATTGGCAGTCGTTGAGATCCGTTCTGATGCGCTACTTTTTTGATTCACTGGCACCTCAAAACATAGAAACATGGAAAAAGGTTCTCAGTGGAGTCATGCTTCTTTTCACTAGCCTTAGAGAAGCGGCAGCTTCGTTACACGATCGAACACCTCAACAGCAAACGAAAATATTTGCATTGGAACTCCTTGCACCGGTAACTTAATATGGTATAATTTACGTTTTGTTACCGATGAAATCTTTAGGTTTTGATTATGGGTGATGCCCTGCTGAAGGAACAGTTATGTAGCGGGAAAGATCCGGTTCGTCTACGAATGCTGTACTCCTATGTTCATAAATACTCCATGGTCATTTTTGACTTGATCTTACGGCTGCAGGCGCTCGAATCTCAAGATGAAATTTCGACATCCGCCATGAGATATTTGACGTTCTACTGTGTGTTTTTT